ACAGTCAAAATCCTTGGGCAATCTCTCAGGGCTGGTCTCCATTTCAAGATTGAGCAACTTAGAGACTCCTTTGACTTTCAGACCCAGGAATTCCAGATATTTTTTTAAAAATAGATGAAAGAGCAGCACAGCTGTCTCCAACAGACAGTGGATCAACTTAAGACCACAACAGAAGACCTGCAGGAAACCGTGGAGGACAACAGAGAAAAGTAGGGCCATCCCAACACAACGACCCATCAGTTAGAGCCAGAGAACAAATCTTTGGTAGAGATGCATTGATCCACAAAGAAATGTACGTGGTCCCTGGCCAATGAGTCTTCCTCAAACATCTGTCTGTCAGAAAGCCCTTGGAGAGATCTGGAACCTTCTTGAGAACTTAAGAATCACCTCTTTATCATATGTGGTGGTCTTGTAAAAAAAAAAAAAAACAGGAGTATTGGCGTAGGATCCAGACATGATATGAGGAGAGGATTGGACAGAAAATAGAATACAAACCAGAATTATCCCTACTAGGAATTACGAAGGAGAGACATAGTAAAGAGGTGACCTATTTAACAGTACATATAATCACAGCTGCAAGAATGGTTTTTGCTCAAAATAGAGAAATCCCCGATGAAGGTGAGGTGACAAAAGACTGATGTGTGCTGAAATGGATAGACTGACTATGGAATTGAAAAATAAAGACGAGACAGAACATTACAAGATATGGAATAAATTTTGGGAATGGTAGGAACAGAAAGGAAGGACCCAGAATTAAAAAAAAATATGAATAGATAATTGAGATTATGTAAATAAGCACAATGGAACATGACGGATAATACAATGGATATAAGTATACATGTATAAATGTATATGAGATGTGTATCATATACTTTAGTATGTATGGCAAAAATGAACGCCAGGACAACCACACAGTGTCCAATGTTTTAATGTTGTAAACAATAAAATATTTCAAAAGAAAAAAGAAAAAAAAACCAAGAATTACCTCCAGGGTCCACAGCATGAAGTGACTGAGATGCACCATAGTTACCATGTGGAGAAAAACCATTCCAGCCAACTGAAAGAGAAAGTCGCATCTCTTCAAAATGCGAGGGAAAATGAGAAGCACGTCAAAAATATGTATCACCATCATTACCACCGGGAACACCAGCAGCACCAGCAGAAGGAGACCTGTTTTACATAGCCACAGAGAAGGATTGGACTATGTACAGTGGTCCAATCCTTCCCTCTGTATGGTGGGGTAGGCCCATGTTCCACCAAGCTGATTTGCAGCGATCCCCAAATCTTACATTTGCATCAGAGCATGGAAGAATAACAAAGAGAATGAGCTGGAAGGAGAAACCTGGGCAGAGCTGAAAGTACTGGGGTGTCAAAATTTATTTATTTTAGTTCGTCAAGCATGTACGAGAAAACAAGTATAAGTATGAACATAGCATATACACATATCAGTATGAATGGGTATAAGTATATACATAATAAATGAGTACGAATACATGGGAACAGTAGGATAGTAGGCACACTGGTGCGCTTATGCACGCCCCCTTACAGATCTCTTAGGAAAGGGGTGAGGAGGTCCACGGTAGACAGTTTAAGGTTAAAGTTTTGGGGGTCTGAGGATGTAACAACAGAGTCAGGGAATGAGTACCAGGCATTGACCATTCTGTTGCTGAATTATTTTCTGCAATCGAATTTGGAGCAGGTTTACTAAAATGGACAAAGGTGTTTTGTTTTCCTTCTCTCCTACCAAAGCTCTGCTTGTCTGATTGCATCAGTTGAGGAGAACTTCAAACCATTTTAGAAGTCCTTTCCTCAAGAACCAGCTAATATGCAGACCAGTCTTGGGAAGATCCCTCAAGTTCAAGAGTGTGCAGTTTTCCTTGAAGGCCACACTTGGACCTGCCCGATTTCTTCTTGTGGAAGTAGGTGGAGACTGGGCAGTGGAAATGAGAATATTTTCATGTGGTTTCATTTACCTAGAAGTGTAGCTAAAAAGGTGCATGATAGAGTTAACTGTTCCTGATATAGGGAATACTTTGCGCCGATAAAGGAACAGATACCAGATGTACATCCCTAATCGATGGAATCCACAACCTGCCCTGCCTTCCCACCCTGATGGACCAGGTGGGTGAAATAGGGAAGAGATGGTCCTTCAAATAGCCTGACCCCAAGCCATGCGCACTCAGAAGTCTGTATTTGCCACAAAGCTGTTGTGTTGCCCATAGGTTAGGATCTTTGCCCTCTCCAACCAAGCAATCTGCAGAATTCTTCAACCAGACCATGCGCCAATCCTGGTCTTCAGCGCACACAGAAGTGTGGTCATGCTATGGAAGAACATCTCAAGGTGTTATATCAACCGCTTTCTCCTTGTGGGCAAAAGGACAGACAAAGACACTCAGAAACAGACTACCTTTATTGGTGGCCACTTTATGAATATCTTAAACAGAATGAAAGACTCATAGTTGCAATAGGATGGATTCATTCATGGTGCAGCACAGAGAAAAGGAAGTTGAGCCCATACATTCACGGAGGGGATGTCCCACTGGTATGTAGTGGAGAGAAACATTTGCGTAGCGGACAGCTTGCTTCCATTCCTTGAACTGCTCGGGATTATGGAAGTACCGCCTTTATCCATCATAGTTCAAATTTACACAGGTAGGGAAGAGAATTGTTACACCATCGGGTATTCCAGAGTTTGTAATCTAGAAGATAACAGGTAAAATTATTATCAACAAGTCCACATAACTGTTCCTAGTTAAACAAAAGCCCGATAAGGAACTACCAACTAGACAAACAAAATAACTACGAAAAACACTCCCACCAGAGGTGGTATTCAGCAGGTTCTGACCAGTTCTGGAGAACTGGTAGCGGAAATTTTGAGTAGTTCGTTGAACCGGTAGTGGAAATTTTGAGTAGTTCGGAGAACCATTAGCGGAAATTTTGAGTAGTTCGTTGAACCGGTAGCGGAAATTTTGAGTAGTTCGGAGAACCATTAGTGGAAATTTTGAGTAGTTCGGAATCCCACCTCTGACTGGCCACACCCCCATCTATTCTCTGCCTCCCGAGTCCCAGCTGATTGGCTGGGTCTTCTTTTGTTGCCCTGAATAGGAGAACGGAACTGGAAAGCAGGTTAAGGGAATGGGATTTTGCAATAATTTTCCCAGGAGTGGGGAGGGAACTGAGATTTTACAGTGTTCTTCCCCTGCCACGCCCACCAAGCCACGCCCACTGAACCGGTAGTAAAAAAAAAATTGAATCCCACCACTGACTCCCACTAACACTGACAGGGCAGGCTACTGGTGTGTAAATGGTGCAAACCCAACTCCCTTCTGGGAACTGATCATGTTACCTAGTTGGGTCATGAAATGTCTGTATGAAAACAAACCAGTTCAGACAGCACTAAGGACCCCACAGTCCTCCTCCTCCTCCTCCTCGTCAAACCCCTCTCCCTTCTAGCACTGATGATGTTCCCTAATTTGATCGTGAAACATCTTCAAGAAACCAAACAAACTTTGAGAGCATAAAGGATAGTCCATAAGTATCCAGCATTTACCATATTCTTGGCGTTCCTCTGTTGACATTGCTCTTCAGCTGAGATAACAACTGAAGTCAGCGCAAAGTATCTGTTGGGAGATGCTGGAAAATTGACTTTCGATTTGACAAATTACACAGCTTGAGTCTACACTGGCTAAGATGACTTAAATGTCTGGACCCAGCTCCTTTGTGTATGGTGGGGGTTTGCTCGTTTTATTGTAGTTACTCAACCACCAAGAGTGTCATGACTTCAGCAGGTATAAATATAATGGGTAAATAGGTGGATGGTTGGATGAATGGATGGAGAATGGAGATGGAAGAGAGAGAGAGAGAGATAAAGAACATAGCATCATAGAGTTGAACGGACCTTTGGAGGTCTTCTAGTCCAACCTCCTTCCTAGGCAGGAACACCATTTCAGACAAATGGTTGTCCAATCTCTTCTTAAAAACTTTCAGTGAGGGAGCACCCATAACTTCTGAAGGCAATCTATTTCATTGGTTGACTGCTCTCACCATCACTAATTTTTTCTTTAGTTCTAGGTTGCGTCTCTCCTAGGTCAGTTTCCATCCATTGCTTCTTGTCTTGCTTTTTGGTGCTTTTGAAAATAGTTTGACACACACACACACACACACACACACACACACACACACGTATTTGTTGGAACCCCTCAAATAAAATAGAAGGGGAAGGGAGAGAGTGAGATAGCAAGATAGAGGTAAGGGGATGGGGATGGGGAGATAAAGAGATAAAGATAGATGGAAGGATGGATGGATGGATGGATGGATGGATGGATGGATGGATGGACGGACAGACAGACATAGATGATAGAGAGATGATAGATAGAGATAAAGAGATGGTAGAGATAGATAGATGAGAGAGTGATAACAATAGAGATACAGAGATATACAGATAGATAGACATAGATGATAGATAGATGGATGAACGGATGGACACATGGATGGATGGATAGATAGATGGATAGATAAATAGACATATAGAGATAGATATAGAGATAGACAGACATAGATGATAGATAGGCAGGTAGATAGA